CCTCTCTCTTTACTTGGGCAGTCCTTTCCACACAGCTTAAGTGTCGATGCACCATCGATATCTTATTGATGGCCTTAATTTTACTGTACATGCCAAGTTTCCATTGTTAAAGCATCATATTTGAGATAAAGAGAAACTGAGTTTCCTTTATTTCCTAAAGAGTATTGCTGATACCCAACTATTCTTTAGTGTTTTAAAGTACAATAATTCTGATTTATATATGTAGACATGTAGGATTTCTATAAGCCCCTATGGCCCACACATGTGACCCAGGGTGTGGCCTCTACCACTGGGATCCAGGTTCTTAACAAATGGTTAAAAGTATAGGCCTAGTGGTAAAAAAAAAAAAACAACAAAAAACTGAGTTGATGGTTGGGGGCTAGAAATACTCAAACCTAGGAAATCCAGTGTCCTACCACCTGGATCAGAACCTTGGAGAGCTCCAGGTAGCCAGATGCTGGCAGCTGGAGGCAGGAGTTACTCCAATGCCAATTCCACCCTCCTCTGCAGCAAAGAGTTTTTTGTGCATCGATGATAAGAGACTTCCAGGATTTGGGTCTCAGTACTCATGGGCTTATGGATAAAGCAGTATTGCATTCTTCAGGCATGGTGGGAAGTGAAGATTTCCACTGGAGGCAGGGTGGGGTGATTTTGAGTCTCCTTGCTATAGCCAGGACAGCAGTTTTTTTCCTGAGAGGCGAGGTGTAGCAGGAGAGCTCTGTTGCAGTAAATGTTGTCATGCAAGTATCTGTTTGAGTCCCTGCTTTCAGTTCTTTGGGGGTATACCTAGGAGTGGAATTGTTTAGTAATATGGTAGTTCTGTTTTCCACAGATTGTACCATTTTACATTCCCACCAGTAATGTACAAGGTTTCCAATTCTCCACACCCTCATTAACACTTGTTTTCCTTTTCATATATAAAAAAAATCCAGCCATCTTAGTGGGTATGAAGGGGTATTTCATTATGATTTTGATTTGTATTTCCCTAATGACTAATGGTGTTGAACATGTAGTCATGAGATTATTTGCCATCTGTATATCTTCTTTGGAAAAACATCTACTCAAGTTCTTTGCCTGGTGTTCATGTTTTTTGTAATCCTTACCAGAGGACATTTTCCCATGGATTTTTAGAAAGAGTGGAAAGAAGGAGGAGAGTCAGAGAGAAACGTAGATGTGAGAGAGACACACTGATTGGTTGCCTTCTGCACAGGCCCCAACAGGGGGAGGGAGCAGGGATTGGGTATGTGCCCTTGACTGGAATTGAACCTGTGACCTTTTTGGTCCCAGGCTAAGGGTCTATCCACAGAGCCAAACCAGCTAGTGCTGGTGTTCATGTTTTTAAGGCAGAATGGGAGGAATGGAGAGAAACAGAGAAATTGAGGAAGTAGATAAAGCCCAACTGGGTGACTGGTTAGATATGGGGCTAACACTGGGTTTTCCAGCCTGAGTAAGTGGGCAGATAATGGACTAGCAAGCAAAATAGCTTCCTTTATCCAAGAGAAAAGGGGTAGGATGGAGGGGAGATGTTGGGGTTGGGTGGCGCTATGTTGAGCCTGGTGTATCTAGATGTTGTGCGGGCAGAGAGCAAGATGTACTGCCATACCCATGTGTCTGATTGGTTTCTCCAGAAAAATGAAGGGCACATTATATTTTGTCCTCTCCCTGCTTCCATCTAAAAATCAGCTTGAGAAATTTGGTCATCATTAGGCTTCTCAATCTGGCAAATATAAAAAAATCGTTGTGGGGACAAAGGACTCTGGGATTTATGAAGAAACACCTCTCCTGGTGCTGGTTTCTCTGCCCTTAAATACTTGCTTAATCAGATCAGCCCTTCCAAGTGCATGGGGTGCTGCTCTGAAGCCTGGGCTGCAAGCATTCTTAACAAACCTTGGCTTCTAAAGTCATCTCTGATAGCCATCCAGTCTCTCAAACATTTGCCCCTTTCTGCCTCTTCCCCAACTGCGTGCCATTAGCCCATTAGCTGTTAGTGCTAAGCAATTGCTTGTCATATCACCCAGCCCTCTGAATTTCTCTGAATTACTACTCGGCAACATTGGATGCTACATCACTGCATTACATGATGTCCAGTCATATCCACACTGCAATGGAAAGTGAGATTTGAGCAACTGTTCTACCCCCAAAGAACCAGCTGTTGGAGAATGAACCCCCACAGTGGTTTTTTTTTTGTTGTTGTTGTTTTTTTTTTACTTCTAGAGCCATAGTCTGGCAGCCACCACTAAGAAAGCATCCCATCATGTGCCTCAGGCAGGCAATGTTTGCAGATTGTCCCCTGATGCCATCTGCCTGTGAAACTGCAGAAACCCCCAGCAACTGCTGTTTTAGCAGGTGCTGGAGCTGCTGAGGTGGGAGTCCATGTGCATATACATGAATGCACACAGCTTTGTGCTGTGCTGGCCTGGGGTGCCAGCTGAAACTCTCAACCCAGCAAAGTGCCAGCCCTAGTTGCTGGTTTCCGGTGGGGCCCTGGTAAGGGAGGGAAGGAGGGAGGGAGGGAGAGGGAAGGAGGGTGAGGCTTTTGTGAACCCAGCCAGCCGTCCAGCAACTGGGACTTGACTATAGTAACTCTGGTGTGTATGTAGGAAGCTGCCAGGCAGTGGCTGTGTTTTGACAAGCTTTTGTTCTTTTCTTTCTGCCTCTGCCCAGGCCGAATTGTGGTCCCCTACCTAATTTAGCATCTTCATGTTCATTCCATAGAAGTAGCCCCTCCCCGTTTCTTGCCCCTTTGTTCTTTCTAAAGAATACTTTTCATCCTTGAGCCTTCCTGCCACTCAGCCATGCTTTGGGTCTAGCCCTTAGCTTTCTTTTTCACTGAGTCATTGTGATCATGGGTTCACACAAGCTCAGGAACCCCCTGCTCCAGATGTGCAGTTTGTGAGTTATTATCATTTCAGGCTAATAATGCTTTTGAAAATAATTATGTAAATTATTAAAGTAATTTGAAAATTATATCAGCCATCAGGTTTTTAAAAATCTATATTTTAATGGAGCTTTGATACGAGAACTCCTAGGGCAAACTTTTTCTGTAAAGAGCTGGATATTTTAGGCTTTGATCTCTCCTTCAACTACTCAACTCTGCTATGTGGCATCAAAGCAGCTGTAGAAAATACTTAACCAAATGAAGGCATTTTTGTTTTAATGAAAGTTTACTTATAAAACCAGGTGGCATGTTATAGTTTGCTGACCCCAGGCCTAGAATGACAGTCTTTATTTCACTTATTATCCTTATATTTTCCTTTGTCAAGAGTTAAAAAGCCAGAGGAACTTGGTGACTGTAAATGAACTTAAATCATATTCTTTTGGGTTTAGCATAATTGTGAGCACAATGGTGATTTGGGAATTTACTTCTCTAAACCCCTATTGGGAAGAATAGAAACCATAAGGCTTTTAAGGGATGACTCCGCTTGGCCAAAGCTTGACATTGTTCAAACAGTAGAATGGGCTGTCACATACAGCTGTGTGGTTATGGTCACTTGGAATGGCCGTAGTCACATAAGGTCACATCACCATGTTGGCCATCATTTCATTTTATAGGACCAGACGCTTCTCTGAGAAACTTAAGGGGAAAAAAGTACAAAAATATAGAAAATGGTGTTTTTAAAACATCATGGTATACTGAGTTGAGATCATTATAGTTGATTTCCAGAAAGCTGAAGCATAAGATAGTCAAAGAAGCATTTTAAAATACCAAACTACAATCTTGTTTTCATCTTATCTATCCTCACAGGAAATAAAGAAAGAGATGAAGAAAGACCCTCTCTCCAGCAAAACTCCAGAAAAGCCCATGCACGAAATGTCCAGTGGAAATGCTTTGCTGTCTTCTGAAACAATTCTGAGAACCAATAAGAGAGGTATGGAAAAGAGGAAAGAGCCCCTTCCCCACACCCAAACCCAAACTGAGGCTACTGGGTTTTCACATTGCTGAAAAATTGACTGGCATTTGCCCTTTGGGGTTTTTTAGTATACATTTTGGACACACACACATACACATGGCCAGTAACAATCCAATAACTATAATAAAGAGAACTAATAATATTTTTTGACAGTGGGAAAGTAAACTAAATTTGTGAATGATGATTTTTCTAGGACTTTAGCTTTTGCTTTCATATCTGTTTTTATGGATGGAAGGTAACTTTAGAGAATGCTATGGTGCAGGCTGAGTGTCCATGATGGCCATGCTCTCTTTTTAATTTAGGGGCAGGATTTACCAGGGTCTTTCTATCTCTAACTTCTGGGCTCCTGAACAAACCTTGTCTCTGTCAGTTCAGGAGGCAGTACATACAAGGTAGAGCTCATCCATCCATCTAACGAAGAGATCTTTAACCATCTTGTTTCCCTCTTTTGAGACCTCAAGGCAGAGTTTTAGGTATCAGCTTGTTGGAGTTTTGTTTTCTCCTGT